GTTAACCATAAAAAAAAAAGTGAAAGAAAAACAACTCAATAAAATACGTACCAAGATTTGCAGCATTTTCGCTGCATACTTAACTTCCATTCCTTAATTTTTTTTTTTTTGAAAAAAGCAAAACAAGAATTTTGGAATTTAAAAATTTCGAATAAATTTTAGTAAGAAATAAAATATTTTCACTTATTAAAGAAATTGGTGACAATCACATGAACTCGTGAAATTATCTTTTTGTTAATTGAATGATACATCGATTCAATGTAGCAATTACTTAATTTTAATTGGAGTTAGTTTCTGTTTTTCTTTCTATTCTCTTTTCTTTTTTTTTTTTGATCGAAACTTTGGAATTGTTCAGTATGATTTAACATCCAAAATAAAAATTAATTAAAATATTCAATTGAGCAAAATCTCTAACGACCAACTAGTCCAAATATAAGCGATTTTAATTTCAAAAAGAAATAAATCCATGCATAAATCTCTTCCAATAATTAATATTATTTTAAAAGAGGAAAATTCTATGTTCAAAGTTAAAAAAGAACTTTATTACAATTTCCTACCAATAAATATTTGATTTTTACAAAAAATCCTTTTATTAGTTAATAGATTCAATCATCTGATCATTTTTACTAAACGAAATTACAACCATAGTTGCACTAAGCAATAGTCTTTTTGATCAATAATAAATATAAAAAATAGTAAAAAATATATGGTAATGATAAATTCATAATTTAAATCTTATAAGTGAAACCATTGAAATTTCAGATCAAAAATTCCAGAATCTTACAATTGAAATAATTGAAATCTCAGACTAAATTTTATAATTAAAATAATTAAAATTTTAGATGGCAAATAATTTTGTTTGCATTTGACAAATTTCCTTTGCTAGTATTACTGGTCGATTGCTTATTCCACCAAACCGTAATGAAATAATTATCTGATCAGAATCAAAATGCTTTAATTGTAAGATGCGCAAATTATGGAGGAGTCTAATGAACATGTTTCTTGCGGTTAATTTTTTAATTTATATCCTCAGAGATATTGCAAATGTTTCCTAATTTTTTTTTGATAATAAATGGGTGTATATGTAATTATCTTTTCAAATAAAAATCGATTTCGAATTTTCAATCAGAAAATTTATTGCACAGAAAAAATTTTTTATTTCCAAATTTTCAAATCAAAACTCAAAACATTTAAATAAAAAGAATTAATCTAAAAATTGAAAATAGATGAGAACATATTGATTGCTAATGTAGTAAACTTTTACATAAATGTAACGGAAATAATGCGCTAAATTCATAAAGGAAAATGTAACAAAAGGTACACCACAATGATTCTTATCATAACTGCCTTCATAATTATCATCACAAAAAAAGAGACTAAATACTTTTGTTCAAAAATAATACTTTTCATTTGAAAATTTAGATGATTGATATTATGATATGATGAAATAAACGAGTGATAAATGGAATTGGATGAGGAATTTTTAATTTTTCATTACAAAAACTTTGCTCATGTCACTAATGATTTATAATCGACTAAATCGAAAATTCAAAAAAAAAAAATCATACATCGGAACCAAATTTGCATGCTATACGAAAATTATTCCTTATTTTTAGGAAAGTATTGTTTTGCCAGAATTAAAGTGACCATACAGATCATTGATAGTTTTTATGCATGCTCAAGAAATTCTCCTAATTACTGCTATTAACTGTTGAAATCATTGTTCAAATTCTATGACGCAAAAGTATGAATTGCGTTTATCACAGATCAAGGGTTCAAATCGAAACTGAAGTTCAATTCTGAATGAACTTCCCGTATTGAAGAGGTTCAGTTTATACTAAGACACGATGAAAGTAGTTTACGTTTCACATTACACATTATTTAAATTCATATCAATTTATCGCAAAGGTATTGTTATAAAAAAAAATAATATTTCAATCCACAGGACATTTACAACAAAGTTGAATGAATACTCATGAAAAGCTGTGCTGAAAACTATTTCAACGTTATCAGTATAGCAGCCATTCTCAATGAAGATGGAAATAAATCAATTTAAAAACTGCTAATATTCAATATGACCACTCTCATTCAAAAAAAAAAATTTCTGTTTTCAGAACATTGTCAAAATAGTTGGCCAATAAGTACAATGGACACTGTGAAGGAAATTAAAAAGGAGAGATATAATCACATCTAGCATTGACACATGTTACTTGCCCTATACCATATAAACTGAGAATTAGGCAAGATTATTGTTCAATGAGAAAAACAGTACTTCCTTCTTGCCATGCTTCTGTTTGAATTGATGGGGTTCTATTCGCTTCAATATAGCAGCCAACTTTTGCACTATTTCCGATTTTTCCATATCACCACATTTTGACTTAATTTTAGAAAGCAGTTCTTTCGTTGTATGAGGTTTCCTGCAAAACGAAACTCAAATCACTGAATTGTTAAGTATATATGCAGGTAGAGGAAATCAGTTATTTAACAAAAAATGAAGTTATTTATTACTTTAATAAACGAATACAGATATGGAGATATACAAGAATGCTATTCAATCCTGCAATGTTCAAAAAACCAAAAAATAATGATGTTTTCCTATTTCAGTTCGTTCAAAATCAGAATCAGAAAAAAGTGGAAAATAATACTCACTATCTCACAGTAACGCATACGAACGAACAAGTCACAAATACTGGAAAAAACTACCTTCGTAGATACCGTCGCACTGTTTCTTCGTTTAGACCATCCTGATTTGCTGCTGGTTGTGTAGATGGTACTGATGGTGTAGTAAGCCTGCAAAGATCAAGCACTGCGACGTGAAAACATAATTTTATGGATAATGCTTCTTAAGTGTAGATCAATGGGTGTGCAAGCCAAATCACATTTGAATGAAAAAAAATCTAGACTTGACTTTCTAGAAAAAAAATCTAGAAAATCCAAATTTTTTTTGACCTATTTTTCGCAAACATCACTAGGAACATAAGCTGAAGCTGGAATACAAAAGAAATAGAATTTTAATTAAAATAGTAACTCATATGCAATAAAGCAATTTTTTTTACGTGTTCACAACGGATCATCTACATACGTAAATATGCAAGCTATCAACATATCTTTTCACTGGGACAAAAAATCATATTAATCAAAGCGCAGAGTAGACAAAATGATTTTTCAAATCAAAAAAATAAAAGTTAAAATCTTTTCAGTAAGACCAATCAAAAAGTTTCCACTTTACAAGGAAAATAAGCAAGCTTACTGTTGCTCGGTTTTAATCTTCTTAGCCTCAGTGTCTGCCAAAGCTGCATTTTCTAATGGTCTTTTTCTTGTTGACAATAACGGTTCCTCTGGAGTTTTTTTCTACAAAATTCCACAATAAGTAATTTTAAAAGAATATAACCTCAAAAATGAAAGAAAGCTTACCACGGGTAAGAAAATTGCGGAGGTAATTTCCTTATCAGGATCATCGGAATCGCTGCCTGATGAATCTGAAAATTTCCTTCGACAAATAAGTTGAATTTAGTAAAGTGTTTACCAGTTTGATTTCACATTTGATTTTCATTTTAAATTAATAGCAGACCCTCTGTTAAGAGTCCATTTATCGAAGTACAAACTCCGTTTCTGTTTTCATTTTTTCTTTTTTAAAACAAAAAATAACCATAACGAGTCTCAAATCAAAGTTCCTGCGTCGTAAATGTAAAGTTGCTGTTTCCCATACAAAACTTGAAAAAACAATAAGCATAATAAAGTAAAAAGTAAACATTTAACGGAATAAATGAACAAATAAATTTGTAATGGCAACTTACCCCTTTCATCGACATCAATAAACTGTTTTTTTATTTCATCACCATCATCATCTTCCACAGTAGAAAGAAGTTTCTTTGCTGAAATTTCAACCTTGATTCAAGTTGTCAAATTTTTCATTCATTTGGACAATTAAGATGTTGTTTTAAAAGATGACAACCAGTGAAAACTTTGTTAAATAAAGCGAATTAGAATGGCACACATACTGGTATCGTCCAAATCACTGCTGTCGGTATCAGAAAAGTCATCACCGATCAATTTTTTCAGACCTGTTTCATCACCTACGGCAACCATCGCTTCATCCACTTTCTGTTCCATAGGAACTGCATCTCGACTGAAAGTGTTATCGAAATAAAGCTGATCTAATTCGATGAATAAGCCTAATCCATGGAAAAGAAACGAATCTCGAGGTAATAAAATCGACAAATACTGGGTCCAGAAGTACTTATATTTTGATAGCTAATATTTTCCTCCCATAAGTTCTACATGAGAATTTTATCAAAACCAAGTTCAAGTACAGTTAAAATAAGGCAGAGGAGAAGAAACAATTTAATTAATAAAGAGAACTATCGACTTAAAGTTCGAAAATATAACAGGTGGAATAATTAAACAAAATAACGGAAAATGAGAATTGGACTGTTGTATTCAACAACACTGTACAGAAATACTAGATACGACTGGAACTGCTGACCTATATTTTTCGGGAAATTTCCACTGTTGACGCGATTACATGAAAAAGAATTTTAGAAGTTTACCGCTTAAGTCTACCTTCAATCTTGAGTCTACCTTCAATCTCATTACTTTTCATATTGGTGCTAACCTACTGTTCTTTTAGTTATAATTTTGTGAAAACACAATACAAATCAAAAAATGAAACGAGTTAATGTCTTCTTACTCGATTTTTATTAAATGGACGTCGAAACAGCTGAAAATGTTTTAACAGTGAAATAACGGAAATAAATGCTCACAATATATGCATGCCCATACATATATGAAAATGATGTGTTTTTTAATATGTACACAGTAGCGCACTAACAAGCCATCCTAAGAAAGTCTATCCTCACAAGGATAGACTTTCTTCCTTATATTTTATTCCTTGTAAGCTTTCATTTCTTGCTTTTTATGAAACTTCTTTTTTTTTTTCAGGAAAATTAGCATTTTAAGCAAGAAGCAACGGATAAAAACAACTATAGAAATTGGAAGGATAAAAATTTTGTAAAGTTCGGTTCTTCCAATACGGAAACATAATATAATATTATGTTTTAGTATTACAAGGACTGAATTTTTCTAAAATTTCCAAAAAGAGTATAGTAAAAGGTCTGTTCAAAGCAATATCACCTGAATATCTATTAGTGAAAGAAATTAAACAATGAACTATAATGTATGATCCTTCATCACTGCTTTATGAAAAACTCACTACCAACAGCGTATCTTATATTCTCTGCTTTCAAGTAACTTGAATTTTACGAATGAATGATATATATGAATGAAATTTTGAAGAAACGCTAATTTCGGATAAAAGTGATATTATGAGATACCATATTTGTTGAAGCCATCTTAAAGATAGTTAAAAAAAGAAAGAAGTGGTTATCACTTCTCATCCGTTTTGAGATTTATTTAATTTAAATGTAGAAAGAATGCTATGTAAGGAAATGCTATGCCAAGCCTGGATCGTTAACTCATAATTTGAAAACGTAAACAGATTTTTATGGTAACTGAAGAAAGAGAGAGTAGCTTCAAATATTTCTTGGTATTTAACTTTCTTCTCTGAGTAGAGAAAAGAACAGCAAGTAACCGGTACAAAAACATGACAGAACGAAACCGTCATGTTTTAACAAACGTAACACAACGTATAACACGTATTTCTTTTAAATTTCTAACTTCAAAAAGATTGTAATTAATGCTCGATAATCAGTTTACGAGAAAATTTGGGTATGGTTTAAAAGAGAGAAGTAAGACTGCAGGAAATAAGCCCAAATAACATACATGAAGAAAGAAATCTTTTTGGTGGACAATGAATGAAAACCGTTTAGGCGATTAGAACATACGAAACTGAATTGTGGGGAAAAAAAAATGTAAAACAGGAAACTCTTTATTTAAACTGATATGGTTGAAACTTACTCGCTTTCTGAGCCACTATCACTCATGTAGTCATACTCTCGACCCTCATCATCACCATCATCACTTTCATAAGCTGCTACCTCATCCGCATTCTCTACCCGCTGCCTTTTGTCTTTCCGGGCTCGAATAGCAGGTTTTAAACTCTGAAACAGAAATCTAAAGGCAGTGATTTTGCATTTTCGGCCAGTATCATGTCCGATGGCAACTTACTTTTCAGTCTAATTTAAATCTAAAATCTCACGTACAAATTTGTGTTTAAAATTGGATTCACTAGCTTTGTTAAATTTCTAGATTAAGACTTCGAACAAATTTAACCTTTTTCGGTTTCAAACTTCCGGTAGGAGCATCATCTTCGTCGTCACCTTTTTCGCCATCAGAATTCTCATCCGAACTAGCTTCATCCTTGATTTTCTGAAAATGTTTTAGAATTTCGACATGATGCAGTTAGAAGCAAATAATAAATAAGAAACAAATAAATCAAAGTAAATGAACTTACAAGTGATTTCGTTGTTTTTATCATCTGTTCACCATCTTCATCCATAGCTTTCAGCTGTTGCTGTATCTGAGCTTTTAAGGCAAACTGATTCATGACACGGTTTCGCCTAAAAGGACAAATTACTTTCAATATGTACTTTCAATATGTAACTGAAAGCATATCCCAACCTTTTCCGTTTGTTTTTGCTATTAGAAGAAACCACAAGTATAACAGAAACTGCATGTAATTTGACAAAAAAAATGTTTTCATTTCCTGGAAAAATTTTATCCAGTTTTGAACATCTCCTCAGTATCAGAATCAATGAACTACATGTTAAACATAGTAAATATACCGTCCTGAGAAGCGTTTAAAGCTATTTCTCAAAATTTAATTTATTTACCACACAAGAAATTAAATACATGATCAGTCCATTTGGGCACACAAATGATGGAAACCTTACTCACGAAACCGTTCTTCTGCCTGATCAATGTCAAGAGTCCGATGAGTCGAAAACGGCATAAATTGATACCATTCGTCAACTTTGTAAGCATGAAATTCTTCCCCTGATTTTAAAAATACCCAATAATCTGCATGTTCTCCTGCTCCACCTTCACGAATGCTACGAAACTTCCGTTCTTTAGCACCTGGAAATCCTGCATGAGTTGACGAAAAGGAAAAAAGATGTGATGATATCCATGAAAAAATTACACTGATAACTACAAATTCAAAAATGATGGTTGGAATCTCCAACACTTCCTTGAATACGAAAGGGTCACATTGATAACGGATTAAAACATTCAAGTAAAACTAAAGCGGTACTATTATGATGAAGCTAGTTGGACACTATGATTAAATACAAAATTAATACATAAACTGAGGAAAAATAAGAGAAATATGTACTTGAGTCTGTAATGCTTAGCATCCATGGTTGATTGTCATGCTGATAGGTTTGAAGCTGGCGGCCGTATTTCTTGCGCCGTGCTTCTTCTCGCAATGCTTTACCATATTCGGAACCCTCGCCATAGTCCTATAGGAATAGACTGTTACTAATCTCAAGTATTTTTGCAGCAATTCATTAAACTAAAAGAACCACGTGTTCGATACAGCTTTCAAAAATTTCTGGAAACCTCAGCTAAAATTCTTTGAAGAAGCAGGCATCCCTTAACAATTCTCTAAGTGGTAGCGAATAACGCAGGGCACAATGATTAAAAACAATAATTTTGCGCTCCCAGCAAAAAGTAAGAAAACTAACCTGTCGGATTTCATTTGCAGCTACTTGTTCTTTATTATCTTCACGTGCCATTCGTATACTGTAATCGGCCGTTGCCCATTTGCCTGGATCAATTTTCAACGTACCATTGAATTTCAAAATTGAATAACGTCGAGATCCATTGCGTCTACAAAAAGGCAAGAGAACCTAGAAGTCTTCCTTAATCATTTAAAAACTGGAAATAAAAAAGCAAAACTACTTGGACAAGTTTAATTAAAATTAAGCATAGGTACTTCACCACTGTAATTTGACAACAAAACGAATGTCTTCAAATTTACTGATAAGAATGATGCAATAAGCTCATTAAAACTTACTTGGGAATACGCACAACATAATGTTTCGGTGTTGCAGGTGAGGCCATCTAGAAAGAAGAGTCGGATGTACAAGAGAAGGTAGCAGAAAACTTTTTTGGGAGCAACTTCATCCATCCACTTTATATTACGTTCTCCACATATTTCTCTTTTGTTTCTTTTGAAAACAATTCTAACCTTCAAAGATTAAAAAGACCAAACAATAAATGAATTGGCATTTAAACCAGATGCTGTCATTGAAGCGGAGTTTCAACAAAGAATTTTATCGGTATCTACAAAGACAACAATTTTTAACATTTAATAGGGAAAAAAATTGAAAGACTTTCTCTGAATTGTACCAAAAGTTCATTTCCTTGAAATGAACCGCACATAAATCATGAATATTGGCAAAATTAATATATTTAACTATTTAATGAATACAAGGAAAACAAAACTCTATAACAACGCCTTGAAGGCAACACTTTTTAAAGCGATAACAAACTTTTAAAACAATATTTGAAGATAGCTTCAGCGTAGCAAAGTGTAGCATGAAAAATTCAAATCTCTTTTCTATACGAAATTCAAAAAAAAAAACGAAAAAAATGGAAAAAATGAAGGGTTAATAGGACTTTAGAACCACCCTATTTTCTTATTTACCAGCATATCACGCTTGAAAACCTTCAATTTGATAACCTTTGCTATCTCCTGTGCAGAACGATTCTGACCTGAAATAGATGCACTGGCTGGTAGGAATCCATTAGAAAGTAAAAGAAGATTAGTGAAATAATGACAAAACACCAAAAAGAAATCACCATACAAAGGTCAATCTAATCTCAAAAGACTAGAAGGACAATTAAAAAGACAATTAATCAAACTGTTCAGCAGAATGCCTTCGCAAATTATTGATTTGAACTACCTTTTATAAAAGAAAACAGCTTACCATAATAATCATGAAAATTGCCATCTGGATCCATCAGGTACATGATAACAGTGTGATCAACAATGTAATCCTTCCCGTCTATTTTAGGTCCTTGACTGTAGTAGACGCGAAATGCCTTTGCTACTTTGGCAACCTGAAGAAAGAGTGATATGTTTGATTCCCTCATTTCACTTTTTTCACAGCCCATAAATGTTTCTATGGAAAATAAAACATTATACCTGTTCCTTTGAACCAGTGTAGCCTTTTATTTTGGGGGAGAATTCAGCGCAGTATTCTTTCACTCTTTCAATTGTATCACGTTCCGGATCTACCGATATGAAAACTGGAATTACTTTGATTTTTTCCTCGCTTTTTTCAAGAATTTCCACAACCTAAAACTTGCAGAAATCCGTAACTTCAAATTATTCAAGTCATATATTTCCAGAAAATTCTGCACGATACGTTGGCTGAATAAATCTTAGCTTTTAACTGTTGTGCTTTTTTGAAGAATAATAAAACTCATAAAAAAAGAAGAAGTGGCTAGAATAGAAAAACCGACTTCAACCATTTTTTCAATAGAATCAGGGCAGACATCAGGGCAGTGTGTAAAACCAAAATATAACAAAAGCCAATTTCCTTTAAGCTGTTCAGATCCTCCTAATTCACCATCCATGCCGACCAATTCCCAAGTACCACCAATCCGAGCCTTACCGATTGTTTTTTTCCTTTCACTTTCCAGTTCTCTCATTTTCTGCAATGTACCTCTTAATTATAATTGAAATTGGACTTTGCATATAAAATTATATCTTAAAGAATCAATTTTCAGAATGCTTCACATAATGTAATATTTACATTAGAGAGCTAAAACGAGTTTGTCGTTATGCAATCGTTTATCAACGAATTTAAAGAAAACAAGATGTACCTTTTCTCGCAAACCTGACAAAATGATAACTAGAATAACACTGACACCAACAATAATCATTGCCAGTTTTCCTGTGAAAATCTCGCGAATTCCTTTCTTCTAAAAGAAACGATATTTCCAGCAAAATACTATTTTCTCTGCTTTACTTTGTACCCTAACCAAATAACAGGAAATTTTCCAGAGAATCTTGAAATATCTGATAGTTAACCTACCTGCTCCTTTAACTTCCGAATGGTTTCCATGGGATCTGCCGGCATTTCATCCTTTTTCAAAGCCTCTTCCAAATCCTTTATGTCCACTTTCAAATCATCATTTCGTACTTGTTTTTCTAAATGTACTACTTTAATTTTACATCTTAAAAAACTCAACAAAACGTTTAACTCCTTCAGAAATTTAACTCTGCAGGAAATCAAGATCTCGTTTAATTTCCACAGAAATGCAAAACAGTTAACTTCTACAAGAATTTTAGTTAACTTCTACAAGAATTTTAACTTCTACAGAAATTTTGCATCACAAAAACAAAACATCTTGGAAGAACAAAACAATGAGATATTATCCGCTCGATGAAAACTGCTACATGTCAAGTTTTTCGTAACTTAACTACAATTTATAATAAATGACAAACTTTTGTCGTTGATATCATCATTGTCAATAGCAGCAAAGCGTAGTGAATTAGTAGCATGAAGGAAACATCTTCTGATACAGTAACACTGACGAGACGAATTGGAAGGTGACAATCGAGAGAGAACAGCACAAGTTACACGAAACATCTGAAAATAGACCATTTAAGATATTAGGTCGTGAAACGTGAATCTAAACAAAGGATGCCATAAAAGTATAAGCCAAAAAGGAAAGATAAATCTTTTCGGGAATGCGTATAACAAGGAGATATAATACACTAAACCAATGATTAGTGTTTAATTAATTAAATGGATTAATCAATGGATCATACTTTACTCCTCACTTTATTTTATCTCAAGTAATTCATTTGACGAGAGTACGATCAATTCTACGGATATGTGAGACACGTGAATGCCAGAAAAGTGAACAGCGTCATTTAATAAGTGAAATACGATGGACAAAATACTACAATATATTAAATCTGTCGGAGAGTCTTATACACATTTACTAAGATTTGGAAGAATAAAGAATGTTTGCTTGTCTAAATTTCTGTAATTAACATTATCTGTCATTATATTTTGCACTTCATTTTCACAGTTCATTATTCCCAATAATGAGTACCTTTACTATTTATACAATCCCTTCATTCTCTAATCTCATTGACTTCGAAAACTTTTGTCGTCCCTTGTTACACGCACTCTTCTCAAATGAATTTTATTCTTTTAAATGGCGTAGCGAAGATTGCATAGAATTATCATGATGCTGACGCTATGAAAATTTTTGGATCAACGAGTTAATTTCATTGTAATATATCGTATGGTACCGATATATATATATTTTTTTTCTTTGCTCCCTTCCTTTATACATTCCTCACTGGCTTCATTTGTTAGGCAAAGGCACGGTATACGGTAATTTATGACAATCTAGGCTGCTAGCTTGCTTTATTAATAAGAAATCCACTTTAAATGGTGCGAAAAACAGATACAGTTTTCATCTCTTTTCCGGTATCCAGTTCATATCATATATCAATATTTTTGGTAAAGAACTACACGAATTTTCAAACATTTGACTTTCAGATATTTTGAAATATTCCAATAAGTGAAATTAATGAATGGTGTAATAGTGATACTCTATGTGTTAAGTTGGTTTTATTCATGTGCCGCTGCAAACAATGGAATTTACGAAAACTTATCGCAAAGCTTAAGCTATCCATGGGATCTGAACACTCCTTGTCAACCATACATTGAGGTTTTCATCTAGTACTTGTTAATATTTTACGAGATATATCACAATGGAATGTGTGATGATCTTTTATACCTCAGATCCAGTTGTTTTCACATAAAGGTATTAATCACGTCTCTGGAGCAAGATAGTTCAAGTAGTCTTACTTGCGACACTAACAATGGCTTTACCTTTAACACTGTTAAAGTAAATCTTGATATTTCACTGATTATTGCTTGTGTTTTGCAGGATTTCGCAAAAGCGAGTTCTAGAATGATACGATGTGCAGCCACATTTTCTTCACCACCGAAAGTGTGCACATCTTGTACCGAAGAATACATTGCGTTCAAACAGATCGAATATATGTTACGTAAATTGGTAAGCAGAGTTTGTTACAACAAAGTTAAATTTCAGAGAATGAGTCATCATGAATTCTAGCTGGATCAACAAGAACAATGATGCAATAATTCGGATCTATGTAAATTTATACATGCACTTTATGTACTCAGTCGCTTAACTATTCACTACTTGACTTGCAGTGAAGAGGTGTAATTTTTTCAATTTTCAGATAGTAGAGTTTTCAGGAATTAAACTTTAACTTCAAAGTAGTTTGGAATTTTAGGAACATGTGTTTTCACATGACAATACTACCTGCAATCGTGTAATTTATGAGAATTACTTAATTTCCTATGTGTCGGAGGTATCGACGACAATAACAAGAAACATATGGGGCAATTCGCGCTGTTCTTGTAAAACTTTTATTTCTGTCGTGGGAACGAATGATAACAAGAGCCATAATTCTTTTTTTTTCTTCTAAAGTTTTTTATATTAGCTTGTTTCCGCATTGTCGTGTTCATTTATAGTTGGGCTTTATGAAACATTGTTTTGTGGAATTAAAACACTATGTACATAGTGATTTGGCATGTTTGTCGTAGTTGAAAAGCAGTGCTAAGAATAGTAAGGTTGTACACTTGTTTGAGCAGATGAAATGTATTTGTTTTATGTCTAATAAGATTGTACAAATATCCGAAGTCAAAAACAGGTATTGCAAATTGTGGTGGTTGCGTATCTGTGTAAAGTTTCTTCACAGCATAATTAAGAAAGGCGGATAGCATGTATTACTTTTTATCATTTTTAACAACATTTTTGTTTTATATCTTACAGTGGTGACTACAGTTTAGTGTTATAAATTTATTTCACATAGTACATTTTATCGTTGGATAGTAACTTAAAGGAATAACCAGCAGTGAAAAAGTATAAAACTGCTGAAGTTAGATAAATTTAATTCATTTTAAGTTATCATTAATTTCATACATTTCAGCTTGTGTGAATATCAATTGGCATTTCGAGACAAACAGCACTGAATACAGCTATTATAATGATACTATACAGTTTCAAAATAAGTTATATGATTGGAGGCGCTGTGTTTCTAATGTTTCGTCTCTTCAAGCTAATGATATGGTCATTTGTGATGAATGTCTGAGTTCATTCAATGAATTATTCCAGTTTTACTGGTATATATATATCACACCGAATGTTAATTTTTGTTTAGATGTCGAAACTACGGTTAGTTTTCTTATTTTTTTGGTAATTGTTATTGCTTCATGTATTGCCTAGAAATTTGCTTATTTGTAAAGCATTTTTTTGCGAAGAATTACTCTTTTTTCCTTAATTCTTATCTGTTTGAGCTTTTTATAAATGATATTAGAGGCAGTCTTCATGATATATGGTTGCATATTATATGGCTGTTATATATTGCTGGAAGGGAGATGTGCGCATTACTGAATAACCAGTCTGTTCTGATAAGTAAGAGTTGATTTCATGGTAGGTTGTAAACAATACAAGAAGTGATGTTCTTCATGTGAAGGTTGTCCGGAGAGGTTCTTGAAATTATTTCCTAGAGTGCTGGTATGCACCGCTTTAGTATGCAAATTGAACAAAGGACGAACGATTAAATTTCAGATGAATGATACGATGAATCTGTGGCATAATGTATGGCATTGTCCGGATGATCGAGTAGAAGAATTACGAGACTGGACATTACTTGGATATAGCTTGGCTTTGCTAATAATAATTGCAGTATTTTTCTATGCTGGTAGTTATGTCCAAAGTTCAGAAATACAGAGGCATCTTGTGCAATGTTGGTTTTTATTTAACTTTTAAACTTAAATACTCAAAAACTACTGTTTTAAATTGGTGACGTCAATTTTGCACTGATGTTAGTCTTAGATTCTCTAAATATTTATGTTTTTTTAGTGTGTTTAGTATTCTTGTTTCTAAGAGTACGAGTCATGCTTGCTAACGTTTTTTTCATATACCAAATCAAAGAATTGTAGATTCTCGATTAGAAGCACCACGTGGCTTGCGATCACATATTCTAAGCTCATCAACTTTGGATACAATATCGTCCTTAACTGCTAGAAATACCGAAAGGATCACCAGTTTGCAGTAGTATATTGTCGACTTTTTTTCATGTGAATTTCCTGTTCCTTTGGCTAATTAAGTAGAATAACATAGATTCATGCATTTATGTGCGGCCATGCATGATAGTCATATATCTTGCATAAGTAACCAGAAAAAACTACAGAGGACTCATTTTATTAATTAAAAAAAAGGGGGAAAAACAGTCATATTTTGTTATATCTTTATGAGAAAGTAAAGAATGACCTAGGCACGGTTGACTCATTAGCAATGCAATACAAGAAGGAAAGAAGCATGTCATACCAATGATTTTCGCAACTACTTTCATGTCGAGAAAAAAAGAAGGTAGTTAAAACAAAAATCTTTTCTAAACAAGGATGGAAATGGGAGAAAACAAAGATGGCATAATGGACAAAATTTTTCGTCTCGTTGTATTACTTCGTTAATGAATGCTGTTTAATATATGTGACTATCTGCTCCACTGTCCTCATTTCCAGTTTTAATTCAGTGGAGAAATAAGTTTATTCTTCAGTTTTACTTTTATATTTGGTCCTATATTTCGTCTATCTCGCAAACTGCTTCAATTTGTTTATAACTTTGTTATTGATTCCTCTACACAGCTAGTTTGACGGGTTTACTAAGAACCATTTTAATTTCACTGTTTTGAACACTTTCCACTGTCTAATGTAATTATTCTTAGGATATAATATCGTCTGATTGTTTTCATTTTCTTCACAAGTATTTTCATTTCATAATTTGAATAAGTTTTCAAGTAGAGATCTGTTTCAGAACAGGTTTATCGTTATTATTATGTAAAATTTCTCTTCTAAATCGCAACAGTATTTTGCATGATACTCTTTGTGAAGTATAAATCCTTCAAATTTTTGAATGTTTTGTTTTTTTTTTTTGAGTTTATTCCTTGTTGATATCTCCTTGGTAATAACAACGAGATATTATACAGCTCACTGACACTTTATATTTAAGGTTAAGAAAAGACTATCTAGGTGATTTCGGTGTTTCTATTTTCAAAAATACTTCCTAACAAAGCTACTGCAATTAAAAAAACCATGTCTGCTTAACAAATCCATTGCAAATTTTATAAACGAGTTTTCATATATCTTTTTGCAACATGGTCGATAACTTTACACAGCTAAGTGACAAGCAGACAAAAAATCTACCAATAATTCCTAAACTGATAGTAATACAGAAGTCCTACATATTAAGTTTTAATTAATTACAGTGTCTATACAGCGTATTTTAGCAAACGAAAGTCAGCATTAT